CCGGGCTCCTCCTCAGTGCCCCACAGCAGCTGTGGTGTCCCCTGGGGGGGTGGTGGGTGCGCACACGTGAGCAGGTTCTGTGTGCGTGTGTATGTGCATACGCTGTGTGCAAAGGGGTGTGGGTGTGTGCGCACACAGGTGTGAGCAGTGTGTGTGTGCCTGGGGGGGTGTGCACCATTGTGAGCTCTCTGTGTGTATGCACACAGGTGTGAGCAGTGTGTGCACGCATGGGTGTGAGCAGTGTGTGTGCATAGGCACATGTGCATGCACGGGTGTGTGCGTGCTTGCACAGGTGCGAGGGGTGTGTGTGTGACATGTATGTGGGGGGGTTATGCACAGGTGTGTGCAGTGTGTGTGTGTGCACCAGTGTGAGCTCTGTGTGTGCACACAGGGGTGTGTAGTGTGTGTGATGTGTACAGGGGTGTGCGTGCATGCACATATGTGTGTGCACACGTGTGTGTGTTCATGGGTGTGGGTGTGCACACACATGAGCAGTGGGGGGGTGCATGAGCATGTGCATGCACAGGAGTGTGTGTGTGTTCTCAGTGTGCACACAGGTGTGAGCAGGCAGAGCGTGTGTGTGTGCACTGTGTCAGTGGGTTTGTGGGTGCATGTGCACACATCAGCAGCATGTGTGTGCAATGTGTACACAGGTTTGTGCACTGCATGCGTGGGGGGTCTATGTGTGTGCACACGTGTGAGCAGGGTGTGTGTGTGTGTGCCTGTAGTGTGTCATGGGGTGTGCACACACCTCAGCAGTGTGTGTGCCCACTGTGTGCATGGGGTGTGTGCAGGTGTGGGACGTGTGTGCACAGGGTGCGTGGATGTAGGTGTGTGTGGGGGGTGCACATGTGTGAGCAGGCAGTGTACAGTTGCAGTGAGTGCGTGGGGGTGTACTCTGTGCGTACACACACGTGTGTGTACCTTGGCCATGGATGTGTGTGTGCACAGGTGTGAGCAGCATGTGTTCGCTCTGTGTGAGTACAGTGTACGTGTGTGTGTTCACACACATGTGTGTGCGTTGTCTCTGTGCACACATGTGTGCGGGGGTGGCGTACACTATGTGTGAGCCGTGTGCGATCATGGCTATACATGTGTGTACACACACACGTGTGCAGGTGTGTGTGTGTGAGCAGGTGCACACTGCTGTCCATGTGTCCTCCCTGACCAGCACAGCCCTTGCCCTGCCTGTCCCTGCCCGGCCCCCAGCCCCCCCGAGCCACCCCCAGGCCGCAGTGTTGCACAGCGGGGCTGGGCACCAGCCTGTGTGCACAGGTACAGCCGCACACAGGGACGACCACACACATGGGTACAGCTGCACCCCCTGGTACAGACACATACACAGGGACAACTACACGCATGGGTACAGCTGCACGCAGGTACACACGCATACACAGGGACAGCCGCACACCCTGGTACACACACACACACACACGGGTACAGCCACACACAGGTACAGCCGCACACTCATGCAGTGGCAATCACAGGTACCCAGGTGTACAGCCACATTCTGATTCAACAGCCGCACACACAAGTACAGCCACATACACAGGTACAGCTGCACATGGGTACAGCTGCGCATGCTGGTACGGCCGCACACACAGGTGCAGTCACATGCAGAGGTACAGCTGCATGAATACACAGCTGCATGCAGAGTTACAGTCACATGCAGGCACATGTATGTACACCTGCATATACAGGTACAACCGCACACTCGTACAGTGGCAAACATGGGTACACATGTGACACGTGTGGCCACGCATAGGTACAGCTGCACACACACAGAGGTACACTCGCACACACAAGTACAGCCACATACAGAGGTACACTCGTGCACACTGGTCCAGCTGCACACATGGGTACAGCCGCACACAGGCACACCTGCGCACACAGGCGTGCCTGCACATGTGTGCATAACTACATGTACAACCCCCCTCCATGTACCTGGGCAGCCACACATACATCCACACCTGCACACCTGCAACACATACACAACCACATGCACACCCACACACATGTACAGCCACGCATGCTTGCACACCCACACCTGCACGCACATCCATACATGCACAACCACACAGATGTATATCCACACACACATGCACAGCTGCATAAACATGCACAACCACATACGCCTGTGCACACCGGCATACACGTGCACACCCAGACACACCAACACCCAAGTGCACGTGCCCACAGGTGCGCACACACACACACACACGCACACTGGTACAGGCATGCACAGTCCCCATCGACACCCCCCCACACCTGCACCCTTGTGCATGCCTGCACACCCACCCACTTGCACGCACACCTGCACCCACCCACCCACAGAGACATGTGCACTCACACGTGGGCACCTGCGGGCTCCTCCAGCCAGGGACGGGGACAGGGATGGGGAGAGGTGACCCCCTGTGGTGCATGTGGGGCTGGGGGGTCCCAGGGTGGGGGCGTGGGATGGGTGTCCTGGCTGACCCCTGTGTCTCCAGACCACCAGAAGCTGGAGCGGGAGGCCCGCATCTGCCGGCTGCTGAAGCACTCCAACATCGGTGAGTGACGCCTAGCCCGGGACACGCGGGTGCCACCCTGGGGGTCACCCTGGGGGTCACCCTCCTGGGTGCCACACTGGGATATGCTGGGTGCCACACTGGGATATGCTGGGTGCACACCTGGGCTCGTGTGGAGTCTCACCCCTGGGGTCCTGCTGTGTGCCACCCCAGGGACGTGGTGGATGCCACCCTGGGGGCATGGTGGGGGCCCCCATGGGGGGGGGGGTGCCACCCTGGGAACATGTGGGATCCTGCTGGGTGCACATCCCAGGGAGATGCTGGGTGCCACCATGGGGATGTGCTGGGTGGTCCTCTGGGGACATATGGGGTCCTACCCTTGGGGTCCTGCTGGGTGGCACCACTAGGACATGCTGGGTGCCCCCCTGGGGTCCTGCTGGGTGCTACCATGGGACACGCTGGGTGCAGGTGTGAGGGCTGCGTGTGACACAGACACACGTGTGTCACACATGGCAGATGCCCCGGGGGCTCCTGGGGCCGAGGCTGAGCCTGTCCCCGTCCCCATCCTGTCCCCACAGTGCGGCTCCACGACAGCATCTCAGAGGAGGGTTTCCATTACCTCGTCTTCGACCTGTGAGTGCTGCTGGGGGGGTCAGGGGGTGTTGGGGGGTCCTAGGAGGTTGGGGCTGCCTGGGGCACTTGGGTCCCGGGGTGACGTGGTGCCCCGGCTGCGTTGCAGGGTGACCGGCGGTGAGCTCTTCGAGGACATCGTGGCGCGGGAGTACTACAGTGAGGCTGATGCCAGGTGAGCCCCTGTGCCCCCCCCCCCAAACACCCCT